AAAACATGATATAGATTGACGGACTGTGAACTCGGGTGTAGACAAGTGTGCGGAGTACAACTGCAACAGATAGAAGTTAAGATGGCGACCGACGAGCCAGGATCAGCTTCAAGACTGTTACTAACATCAGCGTGCATGTGGTCTCCAATAGTTGGAGATGGTAGCAAAGCATTACGCACGGAGACGGTCTGAGCAGTATCCCTGTGGTTTTGTGTACTTCATACCATCTCTTGTCCAGCACATGTGTGGCTGCAGTGTTACTCCTTGTGTGCTTGAAGGATGCTCGTGGACCAGCCCTAAAGGGAGTGGCATTAGCTTCCACCCCTACAGGCTTCCTTTAGTAGTAGCAAGGTGCCTCTCATGAAGACGTTCAATCAGTGCATCTATCTCGACTGCTTGGCTCACGTGTCACGAGTCGTCTGTATCGTATGGAGCTCCGCCTCTGCTCCGCATTCGGGAATGCGTGGTCTGAAACTCGTCTCATGTGGCCGGCAGGAATTCTGACTGTTGTGAAAGCAGGGGAAAATGGCAGAGCGAAGCGATTCTCTCGTTTAGAAGAGCAGCGAGCAGATGAACGAAAGCTGCTACGCGTCCATTAACCTCATCTTTCACGATGAACATTGTCCGAAGCTGCTGATTCTGCTGCTCTTGGTGCTTGGCACCTGCTTTGCCCAAAGCTTCAACACATGCCATGATGGCATAAACACGGCAGAGGTGTGGGCCCCTGGGAGGGCGCGCCCAAACCTTTTACGCACATCACGCAGGTGGGACCTACCGTATAGGGCTGTAAAAGAAAAAGGTAAACTCTAACGAGCCGTGGTATGGCTGTAACTGAAATTATGTGACCAGAGATTGGTCTTGAAATGCCCGAATTCACGTGGTGCTGCTGCGTCATGGTGACGTCACGTCACTGACGTGTTGTAGATAGCCCGAGTTGAATATATGGCTCTATCGTTATGAGTTACACTATCATTGAGCATGTTGTCCAATAATTAGGATATCTATTGGTTCTGCTCAGCTCATATGGGTCGCGTTCGCAGTGTGGGAAATGACGTATGAGATGGCAAAACGCTACATCAACACCCTCAGTTAACATAGTGCGATGCATCGTCGGAAGCACATCTTCATTGGAGTCTCCAGTCTGGAGATTCTCAAGATCTTTGGTTGTGAAATACTCGTATCGGAGTCCACATTTCTACGGTTGAAGTGAATCTGCTGTTGAGGTTTTCGTCCGAGCCAGATAGCTCGCGAAAACCGTCTTCATTTCCCCTCACGAAACCACCCTTAGACCCGTGACCCGCGGACCCCGAATATTCATCATTAGCTGCCTTTCGGCTACGTTGTTATGCTGTGAGCCTCACTAGAGAGGTTTGAAATAGTGTGTCTGATGAAGCATAATGTATGTTAGTTGATTACTGATAAGGGAATGAAACTTCCGGATTGAGGACGATTTTCTTTCTCTTCTAGCAGCAGGCCTATCTTGATCGTATTGATTTGATTGTCAATAAGATCCACACCGTCGTGGTGCGCCGGCACATTCGTCTCACTGACCTTCTCCAGGAGAATACTCCATATAACGAGTTAGCTGCGTTTTTTAGTCAGTCAAGGTCAGTCGCCAAATACCGCTCACATAAGCGCCGCGCAATACATGCGTGATGAGAATGAAAACCTCACAGGCTGAGAGTAACAGCGACTAGAATCACTTGTAATCATCATATGCGTAGCAGCTGCTCCCCGAACGGTGAAAAAACAGCTCCACTTGGCGATAAGATATCACCAAGTGAAATCACTGATAGCAGTACATGTTTGGACTTAGCATATCACGCAACGTGATTCACGCTTGTGTTATTATGCACCACCACCCAACAGTAACGTTTCACAGAACGTAAGACCCAAGTAAAGATGGTTGACGATCATTTCAGGAGTGAGAACCTTAACATCCTCTCTCTCTTGTTACTTGTTCACACTCTCTGGTAGATGGTCTTCCCGTATTGTTTTGTCCAGTGTTGGAGGGCTATGCTGCACAAGGCTGTGCGGAAGTTTGTTCATTGGTAGCGTTTAACGTGAATTACGAGAGTTGATCGATGTTGGTGAATGAGAAAGACTCCCGAATGAGGGGTACTTGTGGGATCCTTTCTTCCGGCCCTTGATAATAGTAACTAGCACATCTTCTAAGGAAGATGTTACCAGTCAGTTTGGGGTTACTATTCACCAGCGGTGATTGGCTTAATACTCAAGAAGATGCTACGCAGGGCTTTGATGAGGAGTCTTATCTTCAATCTTGAAGGTTCGCGATACGAAATGCTCTCAGTCTTTTGAATCTTCCCTCCACTCGAATGCTGTCTGCTGCCACCGCGTTAGTCACTATGGCAGTGTTAGCTGGTTATGGTGTCGTCATCGGTGTTGATGCCTCTCTCAAGCCTGGGAAATACTGCGCCTACCAAGATGTGTTTAGTCCTACACCTGGAATGATGCTCAGGGGGTGCATGTTCTTCCAATACGACTCTCCTGGGGAGGCTATCGTGGGTTACAACTATTTTGGAATCCACTATTATGCTTTTTGGTACGATAGTGCGGTCATCAAGGAGAACACTTTCATCTTGAAACGTTTTGGACGTAGTGAGGGTCCTGAGATATATCCTTACTACGAAGTTGGCTTCGATCTGAAGGTGCCACCGGGGTCGGCCGAGGTTGTCCAGATGGTCTCTAAGAAGGGTGATTATGTTCACAATCTAACAATGACGGCCTGCGAGCATCCGACCAAATACGATGCCGCTTGTGTCGCCATCCCTTATGCACTGTCGGCTCCCGACGGTTCCCTTGCGTCTGACGAGGAGACGCCTACAGGGTTATATGACAACCGGATCGGGCCACATGATGTCAGCACTTATTTCAGAGCGAAAGATTCACTGGCGCGCACTTCTTTTAGAGACTGGCGCAGTCCGCTAGGTCAGAGTTCCGCAATATATAACTCAGGCGCTAGCCCCATGAAGTTGAGTAAGGCACGTTGTGGAGAGCTTATACAGCTCGACAATCTCTACGTCAACAAGACGAAGCAGTTCGTTAACGTCCCTGCACAGTGGCTCTACTTCTCGTACGACAACACGGTGGAATTCGTCCCTAACAATAAATCAAAGCCCAGCGTGGTTCTGATACACTTGCCGAAGGTATCGAAGAAGTGATGATTATTGGTGATGTGGAGTGCATCTGTTTTGCTTTCTCATCTTATTCTATTATATAGCCAGCAGAACGTCAACAACTCGCTTTTACGGATGTGAGCAACGACGGCTGCTTATCCAGGGCATCTATCTTATCTTTCG